ACAATTGCTTTAGGGCTCTCTTGAGGAGATAAGCGGAGCAGGACGAAAACTGAGACAATTGGACGCCTGAGCTGGCTATGGATCAGGTTTATGATTCGCAAATGGTTAGGAGGGTGAATCTTTAGATGTCTCTGGAATGTAGAGCTTCAACAGCTCACTTGGTGATTCAAGGGTTTATTTGTGTCTGTTCGACAGAGATCCTACATATATCCCCCTTTTGCTCGGTGAGGTTCCCGGTGCGAACATCGGCGGGCACTGGAACAAGAGGCAGAGAGAGAGCGAGAGAGAGAACAGGCAAACACAAGACACAAACAACATCTCCATCACTGACTGAATCCTGGTGCAGGACTTGGGTAATTTGGGAATGGTCAGGTTTAGAAACTTGAGGCAACGTAGGGGTGCATTGTTTAGGATTATTTGTAATGGGGTCGTTTTGATTGATCTAATTGTCAAGGGTTCGACGAGGCGGTATAGGCATGATCTCAATCAGGTTTGAACTCTCGGGTTCGGGTTCTTAATTGGCTCTGTCACGTCGGAAAGTGCACAGAATCTTACCCATGGCTAAGCTATCAATGGAGGAGCTTACTTCTCATACCGTATGGGCCATGAGGGTGGTTAGGATTTGCATATGAGCTAAATCGTTTTGTACGACCGAAAATTTAGTTTTGATTCTGCCTCATGGTGGCTAGGTTTACGGCATTAGCGGTGTTCATGCCGATGCTAAACAGAGTTCCTACAGGAGCAGCAGCCCCCAGCACGGCGCCCAAAAATCGTTTTAGACGCCGGTTGTACACGCTTAATTCAGCCTGGGTTACAGTCATTTTCTGTAATTGGTTCAGCATGTGGTTCACATCTGCCTGGGCGTGGGCAAGGACTTCTCGAGTCCAACGGGAGCCGGCCCAAGTGGTTTGAGGGGCTGAGAGTGTGTAGTGTGCTCTGAAAACATCACGAGGATCGAGTTGGCCGTACACCTTTTGGGTGTACGTTTTGCAGTTCATTATCAATAACCCCGGTTGTTCACAGAGTACGATCCCCGACGCTTGTCCTGGCGACGCAACTTCTGGCTGGGGCATAACCCCAATTACGCAGAGGATCAAAACGGTGAGTCCGAACGCCTTCCTGGTAACAGAACAGAAAAGAAGGGACAATTATCTGCGAAGATCATGGTTTGGCGGGGTCGCCTCGATCGGTTGGCAATGGCTTTTCACAATGATTTATGACAATTTTGGTGAAGGGAGTCAATCCTAATTTCGGGACCTGGATTTAAAGATCAGTTAAGGGAATTCCCTGATGAGGGGACTAGAGGGGAAAGGCAAACATAGTGAGAGAGGAAAAAGGAAGAACACAAAGAGAGAGAGGGAAAGGAGAAACACAAAGAGACACAAGGACACCGAATGAGGAGAGACAGCAAACGAGTGTCACATGTGTGGAGCAACTCCTCTCTACTAGAGGTTGGTCCTAGCAGTGAGGAGGAGGAGAGTGTGTAGGTGTTGTGCTTAAGAAAGGTAGCTATGTGTTTTCCTAGAACGACAGAAATTATGTTTGTGTGGTGTAGAGTATGGGATTGTCGGTCTGTGTCAGTTAGTTTGATCTTCCCCCTTTTCCTGTAGGTTGGAGCCCTGGTGCCTCTTTATCTGGTTTCGATGGACCCATCGAAGGACTGGCTCGCTGCACCCTTGTCTGATTTTGATTTGATAGGCCACAGGTGAGATCTTGTCCATAATCTCGTGGGGTCCTGTCCAGTGAGGTAGGAATTTCTTTGACAGGCGATGGGGAGCGTTCTGCCTTGGTTGGGCGAAACTGTAGTACCACACTTTGTCTCCGGCATTGAGTTCCTGTTGAGAGGCCTTTTGGTCGTAGTAGGCTTTACGACCTTCCGCGCTTCTTTGGAATTGTTGTTGCGCAAAAGCGAAAGTTGTTCTCAGGTGTTGATGCAACACTTCTAGGTACTGGTGAGTGGTATAGGCGGTGACGAGGTTCATGTCACCAGGTTGGTACAGCCGGTGTAACGGTAGTGTCATTTGTCGCCCCGTCATCATTTCGAACAGGGGTACTCCGGTAGAGCGGTGAGGGGTGGCCCTGACAGCCAACAGTACCAGAGGAAGCTTAATATCCCAATCCTTTTGACTGGTGGACACGTACTTCTTCAACATGCTGACCACTGTCCGGTTGACTCGTTCCACTTGACCTGAGGAAATTGGGTGACGGCTTATATGGAGCTTGGCCTGTATACCCAGGAGTTTCCACAATTCCTGCATGACTTCGGCAGTGAAGTGGGTTCCTCGGTCAGAGTTGACCCTTAAAGGCAGTCCGAACCTTGAGAAGACGTGGTTCATCAAAAGGCAGGCTGTCGTTTCTGCTGTATCATTGGGAGCTGGGAGACACTCTACCCACTTTGTGAATTCGCAAACCACGGTGAGGAAGTATTTGTTACCCCATGTTGACCGTGGTAGGGGTCCCACCCAATCTATTTGGAAGTCCGACCATGGGAAGGTCATTCCTTTCCGTTGCAGTGGTGCTCGGTGGTTTGGGTTTGCCGGTTGGAACTGGCAACACACCAGGCATCCTTTACATACTCCGCCACGTCTTGCTGCATGCCAGGCCAGTATGCTACTTGCTTGAGCGTTTCGTAGGTGGCCTTGGTGCCATGGTGTCCAGCGCATGGTGAATCGTGGGCGTG